CAACTGTTTCCACTTGTTTTATGCCAACGTAGTCTTTTAGATTTACTCCATACAGTGTGATTTGTCCTTGTTCTGAATGGTACTGGTAAATTACTGATGACTGTCCATCTCCTCTCAGGTTTTGTTTTGCTAAATAAGCCAAGCATTTTCATTTCTTATTTAATAAATTGTTAATTCATAGAATTATGGAATGGTTAAAAATGGAAAAGACCTTTAAGATCACTGAATTTAACCGTTAACCCAGCACTGCGCTGATGACCACTAATCCATGTCCCCAAGTGCCACATCCACCACAAAATGCCACATTTTGAGCATTCCCAGGGATGGAGATTCCACCAATTGCTTGGGCAGTCTGTTCCAACAACTGTCGACCCTTTCAGTGAAGAAATTCTTCCTAATGTCCGGCCGAAATCTCCCCCGGCTCAGCTTGGTGCAGAGCCAGAAGGTCCCTCCTGAGCCTCCTTTTCTCCAGGCTGAGCTTCCCCAGCTCCTCCCTCAGCTGCTCCTCATCAGAGCTGTGCTCCAGACCCTTCCCCAGCTCTGTTCCCTTCTCTGGACACACTCCAGCACCTCCCTGTAACCTTTAGCTGGATCTATTCCCATTAATCTGCTTAAGATACAGGCAACAAACCCTGCATTTTTAATGAACTGCTATAGTGCTTTGTACAATGCTGTTAATACTCTCCTTGCTTTACTGAAAATACTTTTCCAAATACACCCAGCATCTTATTTACCTCCCTATGGCTGCATTTCACTGATCACTGTTACCATGTGACTTGCAGGATCTTGGTCCCAGATGAGCTACCATTTAGTGCTAGAAATTGTTTTTATTCCAGGAGGGCATAGGTTTGCCCTTGTCCTCAGAGGCTTTTAGCTCCTGTCTGTCACTGCAGCGCTCATTTCTTCCTTGCGTGGTGCTGTGTTTGTTCTCAGCATTGGCTGTCCTAAATGATAACCATCAAACTGGAGTAATCAGCAGCTTTAATTAGCATGGTCCTACTTTGTGCTAATTTCATTAATTTGGAAAACAAACAAAAGAACTTTGGAAACTGCTAGAGGCACTTAGTGATGGGAGCTGACAGAAGGTGACAGGAAAGAACTGGGGAAAGGTGCCCAGTGTTGGGCAAAGGAATAATGAGATGAGGAGAGGGCACAGGGCCCATGAGGGAGAAGTGAGAACTTGAAGTGAATGTTTCTCACATTTTCCAGACCATTATTTGGGCCTCACCGAGACATACTTGGGATGGATGAAGACACTGCAAAATCCCAGAAATAAATACATAACTCATGACTTTCTACATTTTGACTTTTCAAGAATAGCAATGCTGCTGCTTAACTTTGGATGTTTCCTTTTTTTCCCCACAAGTTTTCAAAGTGCTCTGAAAGTTCAAAGACTTACTTTCTAAAAGCATTTTAAAAGTACTGACTCCTAAAAGCACTTTAAAAGTCCCAAATTGAGAAGATTACAAGTCTTGCATAATTTATCCACAAAACTTGAAAGGGAAAGAATTTGCTTAGGTCTTTAAAATGCATATGATAAATTTTCCTATAGATTAGAATGACTCTGAAAGACTTTTATCCAGATAAGTGCATTCAGCAGATATTAGAAGTCACAGGCAATAGCAATTAAGGCATAAGGCGTTTCCTGGGAATTTATATCAAGCTGGGAGGAGTGGGGATGGCTCAAAATGCAGCTGAGGGCCATTAACTTCACTTGATGATTAATGACCTCTGCTGAGGTCTGCCGAGGTCATTATTATTATCAGCTGAAAACTTAGAAAAATCCAGATGTATGAATCTTTTTAATGGGAGTTGCAGTTTCAGACAGTGCAGTGGATGTGTCCCCACTGTGGATAGACTGACCTGTAATAATATCAAATGGAGGGCTTGATTTCCCTGCTCCCCACAGCATTTTCAGGAGCATTAATCAAGGCTGGGTCTTTAAAGCTATGCCAGTATCAAATTGAAAAGCAAGCAGAATAAAGCCCTTAGTGCTTTTAAGTTCTCCCAATGTGGCAATGGCATCCAGGACTTAATCAGCTTTTTTCACAGTTCTCCATCTATCCCTTTCAGTGCCTAATCAGAGTGAGTCTCAGTGTAGTCTGGGGATGTGCCCAGCACATTCCTTGTGCTCACTGTTCTTGGACCCACGTTTGAAATTGTGTTCTCCCTAATGTTGTGTTAGGTCCCTCACCAAGATCTGGGCTCTGGGTTATGTTACAGAGAGGTCAAGCACACAGTCCTGAGTGCTGCATCCAGACAGGGAGCATCTCTTTATTTATAAATAGTTGGAATAGATATTTCCCAGTGTCCAGACAAGACCATGCATGGTTCCTTCCCCTCTTGGTGAAACTTTTTTATTTATATAATGAATGATTTCATTGTTGGCTCATAGAGAAACTGAGAGCTACTACTGGGAAATGTTCACCTTGCTGCTAATTTTTGCCATATGAGACTTTTGTTATAGTATCTTGATCAACCTATATATGTGTGTGTGTATATATATATATATGTACACACCTTTATATCTCTCACAGAACCATAGAATAGTTTAGGTTGAAGACCTTTAGGATTAACTGTTGACCCAGCACTGCCAAGTCCCCCACTAATACATATTTAAATTTGTTTGCTTCATTTAAAAAATGTACTGGAGAGGTCTGAAGTAGGTAATAAAGACAACAGGAAGACATAAGCTTTAATTAGTCACTTTTATTTTCATTTGGACTGTGTTTCTGAGTGCTGTGTGAGTCTTTCTTTACGCAGACACTGGGCCCCTGTCCCTTTCATTCCCTTCCCCCAGCCCTTTTTCCCTGGTCATTGTGAAGGTTGTAGCATCAAAATTCCAATCAGGACAGGACTGAGATGACTGCTGCTTTTGGCTGACCTTTATACAAATACCACTGGATGTAGCCTTTTGCTCAGGAAAATTGAATTTTTCAAAAAATATAAGCAAAGCAGATAAAAAGCTTAACTGGGGTGTGAAATGTTGACAATTTGGACATTGGGTGGTAAGACTAGACCTACTTGTACAAACCTATGCACTTCACACTGTTTTGGGGAATGCTGCATGCCTTTAGTCACCCTCTGCCAAACCACAGAGCTCTTGCCTCCCTTTTTGATTTTTCTTTCTTTTTTCCTTCCTCCAAAGTATCTCCTGTGGTGAGAGGAAGAGGTGAGTGAGGTCAGGCAGAATGAAATGAAAATCATGAAAGCTTAATAGACCATAGGGAGGTTCCTTTGAGCGGCTGCCAGCGATGGGATATCAGTTATGGGGAGGAAGACCACAGAGCTGGCAGTGAATGAAAGGAGATCAGGCACATGTGCCATGGTGTCACAGCCCTGGCTGTGGAGCTGGGCTGTTTCCCTATTAACTGCTTAACAAATGTCTCACTCTGACAGTAGTTACTCCCTCGGTGCTGTTAGTGCTCCCTGATGCAGCTGTACTGTGCTTCAGGATGCATTTTTCTGAGAAGTTCTGAATTCTTTGTTTTGCTTGTAAGCTCAATAGATGAGAACTGAAGTACTGATGAGATTGTATAAATGGTATTTCCTTTTATCTTCTGTAGTCTCTACCAGTTATCCAGTGTAAGAGAACAGAAATCTATTTTCCTGGATGAGAAGCAAAGAAGTTGTATTTTAAAATGTAATAATGTGAGGACTTGCAGAGATAGCAAAGAAAACAGAATCCTGAAATGGTTAGGGTTAGGGCAAGAATTGCAAAGAACCTTAACAATCATCTCATTCCAATTCCCCTCCATGGGCAGGGACACCTTCCACTAGACCAGGTCGCTCAAAGGCCCATCCAGCCTTGCCTTGAACATTTCCAGGGATGGGGCATTCACATCAGGTTATCGTCAATATACATTATTGTGTCTATACAAACCTCTGACATAACAGCCCTCAGTGTGTGGTTTTTTTTCAAAACAGCTTTTCAGAACACCAGTGGTTTTTTTCCAGAATAAAGCAATCCTAAAAGCAGGGGCTTTGGTCTGGCTGATTCTCCATCTTACAAAGCTTCAAGTTTTGATTGCAGTAGTTAAAATGCTCGGATTTGATGTGTGACTCACTGTATGGCAGTCTGAAATCTGAGTAAACATGAAGGTTGGACTAAATAATAATGATCCCCTTTCAGCCTTGGCATTTTATGAATCAGTGCTTGTATGAATGAAGAGACCTGTGCAAGTGTCAGAACTGATTTAAGGACTTTGGGTTTATTTGATGGTGTGGAACTTAGTCCTCTGTGTGCTCATAGCTTGCAGAGAAATCACTGAGTCTGAGCCTCCAAGGCTGCCAAAGTGTCTTGAATTTCTGTTCAAGTCCATGGATGTGGTAAACTTCAGACATTCCTTTTATAAAGTATCCCTATTTTTGTCATGAGCTTTTAAGCATGTTTCTACAGCTAAACATTTTGAAGCCTGTAGTTTGTCTTTGAGACAGATCACTGTTTACAGTTATCTGATCTATTTCCAGATGCTGCAGGAACTCTCAAAGAACAAGTGTGTGTTCTCTTAAGTATTTGAATGACAAAACATCCAGAAAAACATGTCATGCAACACAAAATGTCCCTGCAGTGCTGATGTGGATGTAAGCTTCAACTGCAGCCTTTGTCTGCTGATTCCCCTGTAATTCAGCACAATGGTTGCTTCTCTGCAGATGAGCCCACTGTTGTCTGGTGTTTTCAGTCATGTGCTCTTTCAGCTTCATTTCATATGTCACTGCCATAGGTTTGTTCAACTTTTATGAGAAGTTCAATAGCTGCTGGGTTCTCAATTTAAAGTGTTCTTTCCCTAAATGTTTTGCAGAGTTCAGCACTACCAGATCACTGCTTTCCTTAATTTCTTTTCACAGAGCCTTTATTTGCCTATGGACACCTGTCCCCAAAGGCCACAGGTTGAAACCTCCTGTTTAAACAGTTGTCAAGTTTCAGATTGTTGTTTGACTCAGACTGATGTTACAGAGCACAAAGTTAATCTGCAGCATTATTTCTTTTTCCTTTGCAGGAGAAATTTGAAGGTTTGTTCCGTGCCTATGATGACTGCGTGACATTCCAGCTGTTCAAAAGCTTCAGGCGTGTGCGGATAAATTTTAGCAGTCCCAAATCAGCTGCTCGTGCCAGAATAGAGCTGCATGAAACACAGTTCAGAGGGAAGAAGTTGAAGTTGTATTTTGCACAGGTAATGAAATCTTGAATGTACTTCTGTGTTACCACACAATAGTTCTATAAAAGCTATGCATTAACACTGAATAAAAATAATAAAGGTTACTCCAGTGCCCAGTCTCTCTGACAGAAGATTACTTAAACCTCCTTGTGTTGAGTGAGCTGTTTCTGCCCTGAGGGTCTGCAGTACATTTAAAGGACCACTTAGAACTAAAGTTGCTGATTCAACACACAGAATTATGTATCTCAGAGGTGATTTACAACACTTTGTGTTATCTGTGGGTAATTCTCTTAACTAACCATAAGAAAGTGCCAATGTAAAGAATCCCAGTGAATAAAAAAGGTGGGACTGGATTACATATTTGGCTGCAACCCTGTGCCACAGTCAGTCTTCCTACTGCCTTTTTGGCTTTTCTTTACTGAATCTGTGAATTACAAATACTGAATTCTCTAAAAGGAATTTATTGAGTCCAAGTCAAAGGAAGGAGGTAGGGGAAGAAAAACACTCCCAGCGTGGGGCTGTAGGTGATTATATCCATCCATTGGAACTGTCAGGTGAGGGTTCAGTTCTCCTTGGCCAAGGAAGAGAGAAAGTAGATCTCTCACAGCAGCCTGGTCCCAGCCAGGATAAAGTTGAAGGAGGTTGAGAACCCAGCCACCACCTCTTCTGAATGCAGTTTAATAAACTGATGTGCTCAGTGTGGCTTGTGAGATACCCACTAGTGTTTATAAGCAATGTAGGTGTGCTTTGAGCTGCCAAGTTGGCCCTTCAGAGGTCTAAGGATAAGGACTGGCTCACTTGAAGGTATCAAGCAAACCCATAATGTTAAATGATCATCCTCTTCATCCTGGTCAGAATAGGAGCTGTTTTGAACCTAGGCAGGAGCAGAACCACAGGAAGATGGGTAGCTACAGCTGTGAAAAAAACAATGTGCTTAACGAGTTAGATGAGCTCAGAAGATCTTACAGCTGGATTTAGGTGTTAAGAATCTGCCTCAATCCCATTTTCTATGCCCTGATCTCCTAAATCTGGCTCTGAATTTTATTCTGATAGGTTTCAAAAGCTGCTGTTAAGCAGATCTGAGAATGGAGAATTCTAACTGTACATTCAGTAGGCTAATTGAAAACTTGAGATAGCAAGAAAAAGAAAGATGTGCACAATAGTGATTAGTCTCCCTATCTAAGCTGATTTCCTGCAGAACCATTCTGGTACGTGCACTATGCTCTCCAGTACATATAGTCTTACAAGAGCTTATTAGTGGTGTTCAAGGAATGAAGATGTGGAAGCAGCAGTGTCTGGAGCAGTGTCTGGCCTCAGCCAGGCTGAATAACCACATCCAGACCTACAAGTTCTGGGGAACATGGAGTTGAGAGATTCAGACTGGCTCTTTGCAAACCCCATTCTGGTACAGCAGGGTGCCATCCCAGGACCCTGGCATGTTTGCTGTCATGGAAGTAGAGTTTATTGCCTCTATGCTTGTGCTGGTTGTAAACTTGCTTAGGTATGGCTGCACTGCAATTCATTTATGTCAAGGCTTCTTCAGCATACTAGAAAAGAGCAGGAATTAAAGTAGATCATTTAAGATGGAAATAAAATAAGGACACTGTTGCAAATGACTAAGGAAAATCATAGATTAATTTTTCACTTCAACTAAAGAAAGAACATCTGTAAAAACCTTTCTGAAGTTACTTTCAAGGCCTTGGTGCAGGAGTAACCAAAAAAGTGTGTAATGTCACTTTTTATTTAGGCATTTAGACCAGATCACAACAGTACCTTTACAGCCTCAAAGATCTCTGGACTTGCAGCTGTGGCTACCAGAGCTTTGCATTTATCCTGAGTGAACATAGACAAGAGGCACTGACATTGTAGCTTTGCTGATGTCACAGCCCCACACTGTGCATTTACTGCAGAAGCACCATCTGTAAAGCTGAGATGAAATTCATCTCCAAGCCTTTTCTTCTGAGATAGATGCTGAAATCCTGCCTGGGTGGCATTGGGGATGAGAAGGGTATGATTTGAGCAGTCATTCCTGTTAGCCAGCCATCCTGTGGGGATGAGAAGCTGGACACAAGCTGGCAATGTGCCCTGGCACCCCAAATATCGTGGGGTACATCACTCACACTGTGACCAGCAGGCTGAGGGACATGACTCTGATTCAGTGAGATCCCACCTGAGATCCTGTGTCCAGCACTGGGGTCCCAAACTCAGGAAACCATGGAGTAAGGCCAGAGGAGGCCACAAAGATGCTTAGAGGCCTGGAGCCCCTCTGCTGTGGAGACAGGCTGAGAACTGTGGGTGTTCAGCCTGGTGAAGAGAAGGCTTCAGGGAAACCTCACTGTGGTACATATAAGAAAGGGTACATATAAGAAAGATGGGAATGGACCTTTTAGCAGGGCCTGTTGAAATAGGACAAGGGGAAAATAGTTTTAAACTAAAAGAAGGTTGTTTTAGTCTGGATGTAAGGAACAAAACTTTTATAGTAGGAGTGGTGAAACACTGGCACAGGTTGCCCAGAGGTGTTGCAGATGCCCCATCCCTGGAAATACTCAAGGCCAGGCTGGATGGGGCTCTGAGCATGGTTGGAGGAGATGACCTTTAAAAGTCCCTTCCAACCCAAACTGTTCTGTGATTCTATCCTGTACTAAAAAGTGTCTTTGTTATGCTTTACAGATTCAGACCTCTGAGACAGATGGAGACAAGCTTCATTTGGCACCACCACAGCCTGCAAAACAGTTTCTCATCTCGCCTCCAGCCTCCCCACCTGTAGGGTGGCAACCAATAGATGATGCAACACCTGTCATCAACTACGACCTCCTTTACGCAGTTTCTAAGCTTGGGCCAGGTAAGCTTGTGGTCCTTGGGTGAAAACATGTCAGGAAAAACAGACAAGAAATACCAGTGTAGACAATAACTGTAGAGGGAGTTGGCATAGACTTGGCAGTTGCATTAAAATTTGGATTTCAGCTGATGGATGTCACCTGGTTCTTTCCTTCAGAATGAGTATTGCCATTCATTCTGTAGGCACAGAACTGTGTGTTATCTGCAGCTTGTAAAAGCTGATCAAAGCTTTGCTTATACCATTTACTGTGCTGGGGTTTGTGCCTAGATGAAACAGCTGATGGTTTAGGTGGGGACTGGATGAATGTTTGGCTATAGATATAAGGAATTTTTGCTGTACACGACATCTGCTCAGTACTGCATTCCAAGGTGCAGATTTCTCACTTGAAAAGGTGCACCTCCACTGGAGTGGAGAATCTCTCACGTTGTTTGTTGAGAGAGAACTACTGTTCCCCAGTCCCAGTGGGATTGCTCTGTTAGGAATGCTCATTTCCTGCTGAAAAATATGCAGGAGGAATGGGATAAGTTGTAGCCTCTGTTAGCACAGGATAAATGTCAATGAATAATGCATCCAGGTTTTCTTCTGTCTTCTCATCTTCAGCTAGTGCCAGGAGTTGAAGCTATCTGGGACTTTCCAGCAATGCTTCCCCTTGGAAAATGCTCATCTGCTGAAACCAAAACTTTACATTGGAGAGGATTACTTTTGATTTAATTAAGTCATCTTTACAAATAGTTTTCTTCCAAAGCTATTAAAGCATCCTGTTTTAGAATTTTCAAAATGAGAAAGGCTCCAGTTTCAGGTCTAAGCAGTATCATTTACAAATTAATCTGATTTACATTTATAAGCCACAAGGAAAAAATAGCCTATTAAAATAACTTCATACCGAAATAAAGCATTTCAGATCCAATCTAATAACAATTGTGGGGGTGAGCTCATGAAAATTTAGCAGTTTATTTTTGAAATTCTTGTGGGATGAGAGAATTGTTTTTTCCCCAGCTGTACTGGGAATGCTGCTTGCTCGCTCTGAGAACATCTTCCAATTGCAGACATCTTATAATTGGGGCTTTTGTGCAAATGCACCAAAGGAACTCAGAGCTGGAGTGCATAGGGTGCAGGAAGATGTTTCATGATTCACAAGGTTTGCAGGATTATCTCCTATCTTTTTCACATGGGATCTCTCACAAGAGGAAAATATATATCAGGAGATCCCTATGGTTTGTTCCCCTTCAGCAGGAAAGCCCGTGGATAAAGGCAGTCAGGTGGAAGAATTCATATGATACTGCATATTATGATTTCCAGGAGTGATACTTTGGTTCAAAAATGCTGAATAAAAGCAAAACCAAAAAACTCCTTTATATTTTTTTTGCCCCCTTTGATGCAGCAGTGTTATAAATGGAAACATGTAAACGAATTCCCAAGCTAGCTGGGTAATAAATCAATTCCTGTTCTGGAGCAGTGGAATGTGAAATATCACTCATTGTCCCACACTCTGGGACAGCTTTGCATGAAGGTCAAATTCACCCGGATTTAAGGAGCCTGCAGGGAGCAATATGAAAAGCCATTGTGTGCTCTCTTCTTTCTATTTTTAGCACTTGTTAGAGGGATCAATTTTAGTTAACTGCAGCGGTGGGTTTAAAATAGTGTTGCTGTTCTCAGTTGTGTATTTACTATGTTTAGAATTTCATTGAAAAACAAATCCCACTAACACTCATTTCTCAGTATTGCAGCAGTAAAACGCTGCTGGACATCAAACAGCATCAGTAGCCTCAGAGAAGAGATTCTTTTCGTTCAAAAACACAATTTAAAAATGTAACTATGGCTTATCAGCTGTTGAAAAATACTCACTTGGCACAGTTGTTTACAGGGCTGAGAATGTTAGGATCAGACTTTCTTGTCTTCAACTTGTGAGGAATCTTTGCTATATTAAATACAATGGTTTGATAAAATAAACATCTGAAGACCAAGAAAACTCATTAGCGCTTCAAAATAGTGAACAGTGTTTTTGTATGCCCTCAGCATGAGTTTTATTGTCCTACTTCACTGTGAATGCAAGATGTACTACTTGGACACAGACCCATACTCCTTTCCCATTCCCTGAATCCAGGTCATCTCCTGTCACAGTACAGTGCCATAATCATCATAGCCACAAAGTTAGAGACCAAAACTGTCCCTGGGTGCAAAATGTTGGGAGATTTGCTCCAGAGTATGAGGAGTACGCTGCAAGTGAGTTAACAGATTTGCTGTGTGCCAGCAGTTTTGGCCAGGTATTTTAGCTGCAGCATTGATAGGCTGGCATCTTGGAGATCTAATGGAACAGATTTCTTTCTGTGCTCAAAAGGAAGCTGGTTTTGGTCCTTTCACATGGAATTGAGATTGGTGAGGGTGCATTTACTCCTTAGGGAAGATCATGGCATATTTAATTAAGTTCCTGGATGATTGATGTATATTCTCACTTTCTGCAGATGCAGAAATTAGGTTTTAAATGAGGCATGAACAGAGTGCTGTAGATCAGTCAGAGCCAGGAACCGTGACTGTGCCTGGTGCTGACCACCAGCCTACAATCTTTTCAATATATTGCAAATAAAGGAGTGCAATTGTTAATCAGTTTGATGGAAAACACTTCCACTGTCAAGACAACTTCCAGTAGTTTGATCTGCTGATGAAGATAGGAAGACATCAGGGCCTGGAGTAGAGAACAGCTTGATAGGTTGCAAGCATTCCTGTATGAAAAAGCTAGCTCCAAGTTAGGCCAGGTGAGGATACAACCTGGACCTGACAAACAGCCAACCAACCACCCCACCTTGCAAGCATATTTTAAATGAGAAATATTTGCAAGGTGGAGGGAGAGGGAGTCTCCAGGTCCAGGCTGTATCTACAGCAGAGCTGCTCCTCTCAAAGGATAGGCAGCTGTTTGCCATTTATTAGTGCAGTGATTTACAAAGTATCCTCTTGGCACTAGAGTATGCCCTTTCTTTTCTGGATATCAGTCCCTCCCTCTCCATATTGACTCCTCAACCTGCCTATATCTGTTTTCCTTCCCCCACTGTCTCTTCACAAGAATTGCTTTGTTCCCCCTCATTTCTAGCTCTGCACTCCTGAGTGCCATTCCCCAGGATCCCAGGTGTCACATCCTGACTTCCCCTTGCAGCCTCAACCCCTGCTGCTCCACACTGTGGTTGCCCAGAGAAATTACTTTTCTCCCGTGGGTTTGGTTCACGGATCAGAGCTGCACTGATGGGATCTGCACTGTACAATGACACCCAGCACAGGCCAGGGCGCTCAGCACTTTACTTGCTCCATGCACTCACTGGTGCAGTTTTGCACTCTGTCAGTGGCCACTTGCCTCACAGCTTCGGGCAGTATTGAAAAATAAGTGCAAGGCACCATTTCCAGCAATCCACAGAGACAAGTCTGCACCAGTTGCACTCCTCTCCATGTTATGCAGTCCCTTATCAGTGTTCCAGCAGGTTTTGCACCTCAGGCTACACTCTGGGTCTTGTACAATACATTTTTCATGTAAAAAAATGAAAGTGCCATTCTGAAGTGCCACATATGGTGGCTCTTGAGTCCACAGTGGTGGCACTTGGGACACAGAAGAGACCTGGCAGCTTCCTGTGCCACTTGGATGTTGGGTCTGGGCTTCGTTTTTGTCTCTGAGCAATTCAGAAGTAGCTGTTCCTGCCATGCTCTAGCTGGGCTTCTTGAGGAGGATGCAAAACATCTGGCCCTGCTCTGACCTGCGTTTGGCTCACTCTTTCCTAGGAAGGGGAAAACAGGTGAGAGCAGGACCCTGCCCAGGAAATGTACACAGGGATTTCAGACCATCTCACAGGGCAGATTTTCTGTGGCCAAATGTTTTCAAACTCTCTTGTTTGTCATCACTGATTCAAATGAAATCATAAATACTTCATATGACTCCCAGGGAGGATTAAAAGGGGATGGAGGGACAAACAAATGGTGATAGATAAAAGTTTTAACCTCTGTCCTTCCTCTCCCTGCTGTTCTGTGGCTGCTTTTGCCCATCCCTCCTCTTCTCTCTCTCTTCTCCCCTCTCTCAGGGGAAGGAGAGCTGCTGGATGGAGAATTTTTTTCCTCTGGTAGGGAGAGGAGGGTGCCCAACTCCTGCAATGTCAATAATGGGCTTTCAGGGAGCAGCTCTTCTGCTTTGCTATGGCAGATCCATGCTGTAGAGGTGTTTTATGGAGGTATTTTGTGGGATGGGTTGTAGCTCTTCTGTCACAAACATGCACTCATACAAAGGACCTCCTGTTATTTGTAAAGGATGAAGGGACTGTAAGTGGAAGGTATTTTCATGATGCTAATGCCACATTTACATGGACTGGGCAGCTCTGAACTCATTAACCTTTGCTTATGAGTCTGAATTAGGGATGAGGTAGCTACACGTTATCATTAGCATTTTGTTCATTATCCTTTATGTATATGAACATGGTCTTTGCTGGACAAAAGGGCCCTGTTAGACAGGAACTGCACCGTCAACGAAAGGTCACAGTACTGACTCACAAAGGAACAGAAAATCCTATGCAATTATTTTTAATTCTGAAATATCATAAGTTGCTTCTGTGCTCATCCTTGTGTCACCCGAGGCTGTGGGTTTACTCCTGGCTTCTGAGGTCACAAAGTAGGGCCCAGTGACATAAAAGCAGACGTGCTCATTGTTAAGGGAGGAAACTTCAAATTCTTACTGTTTTTCTTATACAGAGCAAATGGTTAGAGAGGAACATCACTGCTGTTTTCAGGGGCTTATCAGACAGTTTTTTTGACAAGTCTTTATGTTAGACGTGCCACAGCTAAATTCTTCCCTGAAGGGCAGAGTATATTTGATAAATTTTATAATTTTCTGGGTAAATATATGTGAGTTGCCACAGTTAGCTTATGTGAAGGTTTAAATTTATTATTTATTACAGGATAGAGATAGACCAAAGACAGCTGGAGGAGAAAAACTCCTGTCCCCAAGAATCCTTTGGCTTAGCTAGCCTGTAAGAATTCTCCAGGCAAGCAGGAGAAGTGGGAGCATGGATCAGTGTAGGGCCTGAGAACACAGAAGCCATGTCAGAGACTGCTGAATGAGGTCACTGGACAAATATTTGGGTGGTATTACAGAAATTGGTGAGTCTTACCTATGTTAACTCAACATGCTACTCATAGCTTGGGACAACCTAGGTCTTGTAAACATGACTGCAGTGACTCAACCATTACTTCAGTAGCTGAACTGCTGCAGACTTAGCTCATTTAATTTTTATTTTTTTTTAATGCTGGAAATGGTGTTTAAGAAAAAAGGAAAAAACATAGAAAAAGAGCAGAAGGGAAGGGCTAATCTGGCTGTATCTACTGTATTTTTATTTTGTGCTTATCACCTTAGTGTTTTTCCACAAACAGCGACTATGTTCAGAACAAGATACAGCTGTACAAAAGTCCCAGTCATTGTTGTCCTGTCCAACTCAGCCATGAAAAGGTTTTGTGCTGTTTGAGTACAGAACAGAGTCTGCAGCTCGTTTATGCTCAGAAATAACTGTATGCCTTAAAAACCTAATTTATGAGTGCATCACATTTTGGTTTGCAAAGTGACATTAATTGCTGCTGCAGTTACTCGTGCCAGAGGCATCTGAATATTTTTCCTTGCGTCTGTACTTTTTTCCACTGTTCTTTTCCAGCGGAAAGAGTCCTTCTGGGAGGGATTTGAGCAGTAAAAGAATGTGGCATTTGAACTGGGATTATTACCTTTTAAGAGGGCAGTGAATCTGATTTCCTCGGCGGTGCCGGTGTAGGAGGACAGGCCGGCGCTGCGTGTGCGCGGCACTGCGGAGCTGCCCACGGTGACAGTGACCAATGCAGCCCTCGGTGCTGGCTGGCGGCATTGACGTCAGCCCAGAGCTGAGAAATTAGCTGGGGCCCACAGGGAAAATGGGCAACGAAAAACCATATAATTCCTCAATGCAGCACAACCAAGCTATTTCTCTTTTCATATTTTAGCCTATCAGCAAGACCTGTAATGCTTTGCTCGATTTGGATTCAGAGGAAAGGTTGCCAAAAATAGAGCAGTTAAATGTCAACATTAATGGTATCACAGCAGTAAAATATTTATCACAGCAAGATGCCTGGCTTATAGCTATTATTCACTAGTTGCCTCCTTTTTTTAAGCAAAAATACACCATGTCCTATAGTCTCAAGCCACCCAGGCTTATTTGGACTAGGAACTTGTCAGCACAAACAGCATGTGAGCACAGTCCCAGAACTGCATGTGCTAATGCAGGGCCAAACCTGCAACCCCTTCCTCAGGTGAATTACTCTGCCATAAACTGGCTAACAAATGAAACTCCAAATTAGTACCACAGGCAAGCCAAAAGTGCTTTGAGGCAGAGACTGCCATTTGCTTCCATGGTACAACACCTGACACTGCTGGGTTCTGCCAGTGGTGCAGCATTTAGGAGCCATTGCACCACAAACAGAGGCCAATTGGGTTGCTGGGGCCCCACCTTCCTCATCTCAGATGATTTTGCAGGCAATGTTTTTTTCTTAAAAGTCTTAAATTAATTCCTGGCAATTTAATAATCAAACTACTTGTATCCCATGTACAATCCAGAATACATGTAGTGCCAGCAGGCTGAGTTCAGGACTGAAAGTCCTATGACTGATCCTTGGTTTGCTTGTGGACTTTTGCAGGTAACCACCCAAGCCCATATGGGCCATTCACTTAAGAGCTGGACTCGATGATCCTTGTGGGTCCCTTCCAATTCAGAATATTTTCGGGGGGAAAAAAAAAAAAAAGCCACATTCATCTTCCTCAGAGGAGCACTGTGTTGAGACTTAAAAAAGGAATGTAGATAGTAAGAAAATATAATGTACTGTTTAGGCGTTCAGCCTGCTCTAGTGAGCATTTATAGACTGCTCTGTAATCTCATCTGCAGAGACAAAATTCGTTACAGCCCCAGCTAAAGAGCTTTGAAACTGAAAATCTGTCTGGAGCAGAGATACAGGGTTTTTTTTTATTTCTGGAGAAATTAGATTAAGTGTCGAAATCTCTCTGAGGGCAGCAATTGGGCTTTAACTGGGACTGAAGGAAAGCCATAGCAAAAATAAAGATCAATTCCAACCCAACGGGTGTGGAATAACTTCAGTCCAACTGTAGGATAGGCTGGGTTCCAGTTCATCTTTTTAACCGTGAACTTCTGTGTTCTCTCTCCTCTGCCTACTTTGGGGGTTTATTTCAGTGCTATTGGCCACCGATATGGATGTGAAAACCCATTATAGACATGAGGGTGTGTGTATTTCATGATGCTTTACAAACCTGTGATCAAAGTGCCTCCCGGGACAGGATCCCCAGGATGTGTTGTGGCAACTGGCAGAGTCCAGCTGTGCTGGTGCTCACCTGTATTTAGGAGCAGCATGCACTCAGCTCCCTACCCAGGTGTGGAGTATTCTGCAGTCCAGGAGTGCCACGGGCTGTCTTCTCAGATCTTCTGATGTGATTGCTTTTCTCTGCTTCCAGGAGAGAAATACGAGCTGCACGCAGGAACAGAGTCCACTCCCAGTGTGGTGGTGCACGTCTGCGACAGCGACATGGAAGAAGACGAGGACCCAAAGAATTCTCCAAAGCCAAAAATCATTCAAACTCGACGCCCCGGTGTGCCGCCGCCTGTATCTAACTGAGCCTCTCCGGCAGAAGCAGCACTTCTCTCTCCTCCAGCACAGCTCTTGGTTTTTGTTTGCTTTGTTCTGTTGAAAGGCAGCCTTTGCCTTCTGAGCACCGGGACATTAAGGTCATTGAAACCCCTTCACAGTAATCAAGCCTCTGTAACAAAAGGGCTAGGAAAAAGATCTTTGTACCTGTAACCATATCACACACCAACTGATAGGTCTAGCTGGAAAGGACAAAACAAGGCTGAGGAAACAAGGGAGGGTTTCAGTCTGAGGATCTTTTCACAGCTATAATTTGCATGCTGAAACACCACTACCAGAGAAATGGTTCAGGTGGGAATTAGGCCAATGTCAGGCTTGATATTCGAACTCCCAGGATTGCTACTGCCCTTCATCAAGCAGCCTATTCCTCTCTTCCTCACTTCCCAACAGACCTTAGTCTTTTCCCTTTTCCCCTTTTTTTAAGGGGGGTAGGTGTGTTGTTTTCACTCTACTAGCAGCTTGGTGGCCTTTTAACCCCCCTGGAATTTTCTGTAAGGAATACTATCTTTGCAATGTTTTCGGAAACAACAGAAAACAACCCTCTTCCAGCAACAGCTGTAGAGAATGGTGGTCTGAAACGGTGGCGGGGATGCGAGATGGAGCTCTGTGGGTTGCGGGGAGAGGCAGCAGCTGCTGGGGGGTCAGGTCAGTCCTTCTCTCAGGGGAGAAGGGAGCCAGAATATCAATAGGGATTGTCGGTTTATCTTCTATCGAGGGATGAGTGGCTTCTCTCAGGATCTGAGGAGAAGGAGCTGACTGATTTCTCATGTAAGATGGGATTCCTTGCTCTCTCTCATAGCTGTATGTTCCAGTAACATTACAGGCTGAATGCTTTCCTAGTGGTGTGGTGAATAGCCCTGAAATTGCCAGTAATTACTTGCACATCTCTAATATTCAGCCCTTTTCCCTTCCCACGTCCTGTGCTTCAAAACCCTTTTTGAGCTGTATGCAGTTTGGGTTTGTGGAGGTGAGCAGAGGTTAGTTAAAATTCTTTTGTGTTTTTTTTTCTTTTCTTTTTTTTTTTTTTTTTTTTTTTTTGTTTGTTCTTCTCTTTTTTTAGGCCAAAGAAAACAGGACCATAACTACACACTTGAAATTAGACTGCATGCAACTGAATCCCCCTTTTTCACCCCATCCTGCATGTTTCTTTCACTTGCAATATATACTGGGTTACAAAAACTGTTCTGTGTTTGCATCATGGCTGACAGCAGGCAGATCCCGGATTCCCTGTCTGGCAGACCTTCCATGATGATCTATTTTTTTAATGCATACTTGTCATTTTGAGAACATATTTTCTAGACATTTGAGCTCAGATTTTGCATATATTTAAGCATGCGCTTAATTTATGCACATGAGTAGTTCCACTGAAATTAATACTGCAGAAACTGAGCGTATATGTAAGGTATGGTGGGATTTTTAAGCTAATTAGCTGCAGCTGTTCTCCCCAAAGTGACTATAAAATGGCACAGTGAGCTTCCATGGTTTAAAATCCTTTACAGCTTAAAATAATACATCTTGGAAGCTTATTTTAAGTTCTGAAAAGTCAGCTTAGGTTCTATAAGCAAGATTGTTGTCATAAAACCTAATGATCTGGTTTCTGAGGGGGGGTTCCATCACACCCTTAATTAGCAGCGATGCTACAAAGCTTCTCCAGAGTCAAGTCCCCCTTGCAGGGGTCTTGGCTCAGCAGCTCTTCCAGGACAACAGGCATGTTGCTCTGTCAGCAAGGACAGGAGATGGCATTCCCAACGTGCGTGGTGAGGACATCTGGGAATGAGGACTTGTCATCCTCACACAGTTCAGCCTCTGGCCACCACAGCCCCCCCTGGTATTCCTGATGAGATGTAGTTCTTTACTCAGCACTCAGTGCATTTCTGTAATGTGATCATTGTTACTGCATTATGGGCATCGTTGTGTGCGTGTTACACTGGTACAATACTGGTCATTAAATACAGCAGAGACTGAACAGAAAATGGGGCTTTAGTATCTTCATGACAGCTGTGTTAAGTTTCCTTAAAGTAACTGCCACTTCAATTATTTTACTAGTGACACATTTAAAATTGGTTTAAGGAAACAAATTGTCACTCACAGGACAAGGAATGTATCCTGTTGAAAACACCATCTTAGGCCACAAACGACATTCCAGGAGCAACACCACTGGCTTTTCTGAGAACACACCCAGCACTGATGTCCATGGGGTTTAGTTTAGCCCAGTATAAACAGGGACAGTAAGATTTAAACATGTAAATAATCAGATATCATTGCTAATGGATTTTTTTTACAGGCAAGACTGTAGGAGGCCAAATCTTGTGCTTGTATCCATGTCCTCAAACTTTGGAGAGACATGGTTCTGAATTAAGTACTTTGGCCTCAAATGATGTAAAACTACACTGCAAATTAAAGCACTGGACCTTAAATGTTCTTTCCTCAAAGTGCATTTTCAAACATTTTAAATGAGACCCTGTTCAGTGACTAACTCTGTGCTTTGTAAAGTTGTGTGGTACTACCCAGGAGGCAGCAGGACATGGCTCATTGCTTGAAGCACTGAAATAGAAACACAATTACAAGCCTGAAAATTCAAAGCAGTCTCTATGAGCAAAGCTTATATATTACCTGTATGTGATAAAATAATGGTCATGATAAAATGTTTCATGTATTATGGAATAATGTCCCCATCAGCAAAGTATCAGCATTTGTGACTCTTGAGAGAAGCTAGTGTTTTACTAAAGGTTGGTTCTCACCTGACATGGAAAGAATGCTTCTTTAAAAAAGTGCTGACTATCTGGAAGGGGAATTGTCCTATTCAGTAAATCACAGGCAGAGCCCCTACTCATTTGAGTGGGAATTTGCTTTTCTGTAGCTTTTCTGAGGTCAGCTGCTCTGACTTGCACTTCTTACAGGGTGTCAGGGGTTCTCTCCTGGGAACCCTGGAAGAATGGAGCCTCAGACTTACTTACACTGTGGCTCCTGAGGCATGGCCCACATCCTTTTAATTTCCTCCCCAAAGCAGGAGCTGGAGGGAGCAGCTGGAGGTGATGCCCTGAGGCCTCTGATGTGTGGACACAGCTCCTGCTGCTCTTTGGAAATTAAAAGGAGGAAATCAGGGAAGTACAGCTGCTGTTTCTGTTGCCTGCTGCCTGCTCGTCCTTTCTGACCTCTTCAGAAATGAAACTGACATTTTATTGACTTCCTCACTACAGTTTAAAGCATGAAAACATTTCCAGTGCATGGAGAAAGAGTATTTTGGAATCTATTCTTTTGGAACAAAACACAAGTAATTTCTGTGGCCTTGATTTTTGTAATTAAGACAAGGTGTGCAAACACCCCCCTTCCTAACATACACAGACACACTCCAGTAAACTTTGTTTTTGGCCAAGAAAATATGGCAAGAGCATCTCTTCCTCAACCACAGCAAGACCACAGCCATAGTTGCTGTAAAGTGTTTTAGGTTAAAAAAATTCTCCCTATGCATCAATTTTGTAGCACTAGTTTGATCCTAAATTGGGCGAGAGGGGTGGGTTGGTTTTATTTTGGTCTTTTTCCCCCTCTTTCCCATTCAGCAACTCTGTAAAAGCTTTCAGCAAAAATACAGATTGTTGTTTGTATTGAGGAATGGACTGAACTCCTGGCAGGATGTGATTCCAGTGGTTTGTCTGAGCACTGTCACAGATGCCATGAGCGTTTCCATTGTATTGTACATAAGTTTTGAAATATTCTATTTAGTCATATTTTATAGGAGTATTAAAAAGCTTCTGGCTAATTAATCACTTTTACACTTCTATAATTCAGAGCTTAGTTTAAAATATTAAATATGGCAAACAGTATTTTTGTGTTCTGCTTGCATTGGCATTTGGAAAAGCAACATTTAAAGAGTTAAACTATATCAATAAAATGAGTAGTGTGGTGTATACCCCTGGTAGAACTGAAAATGCTTAAATGTGTGACATAGGCCAAACTCTCTTTCAGTAGAAATTAAGGGGAAAGCAGCCTTCTTGTTGGCAGGATATGCCATGTTCCATTTTAAGCCACTGCAGTTTCACAGTCATGTGAACTTTCTCTGGTTTGCTGTGGATTTGGCTCAGTGTACACAAAAAAAGCTGCAGTGCGGTCCCTGGTGAGCAACAGCTCAGCACGAACCCTGATGTGGTTCTCACTGTGCTTTTATACTCATGGGTGATGCTGTGGCCATGAGTGCTTGGACAAGGAACATGGCATGCAGCTGCCAGCCAGGCTGGGGAAAGAGTTCTGTTAACATTCATTATTATAAAAATTGAAACTAATTGTTATCTCTTGCATCAGTTTGTGCTGGGTCTTGCAAAGGACTGGAAACTGGGAGATGAGTTTGCTGATAACTGTCCTGTGAAATTCTGATATTGGATTGCTCAAATCTGGATTTGAAAAAATTACTTGTTTTTCTGTGTGCTTGGCATAAAAAATTTCATTTCTCAAAGGATGATTGTTCATGATTCTGAAAATTAGATCCACTTAAGAAGTCTCACTGGAGAAGTAAACTCTGAGCTCTTTAATTCCTTTGGAAAGGACAGGCCTTAACCTCTGTGTTTTAATTAGAAAAACTAGTAATGAACTTCTTCTGGGGTTCTTTTCACCTCTTTTAGAGGTGAAAGGCAGGAGGCCTAGTTTATTCTTCTTTGAGCACCCAAAGAGCTTCCCCTACCACAGTGAGTTTCTTCATCCACCCAAGTGAAATGCTTTGTTTGGAGCATGCCAGCTGTGGCTCTTCCATCGTGTTTGGCACTGGACACAGCACTGGGAAATGAGCTTCAGGGCTTCAGCTGTGGATGGCAGAGAGCTGTGTGTCCCAGAGGACCGGACTGATCACAGTCACAGTGCTTTCAGATCCTCTACAGAATATTTACTGAATTTATTTTTGGTCCTTCTTTAGTGGCAAACACTTCAGCACTAAACTTTTTGCCATTTCAGTCCTTCTCTCACACATTCAATGTGAATGTAAGACCTTTGCATTTCCTTCATTCCCTTTTGCCTAAGAAATCACTTTTAGTTCTGGTTTACTAAAAAGTAAAACCAAGTATGGATTAAAGTCCCAGCCAGACCCTCATTTATACTCAGCATCATGCAATGCTCTTGAATAACAAGTTACACTAGCAAAATCCCCAAACACTGTTTATCCTGGTTTAACCCATCCTCTGGGGGAGTACAGCAGCTTTCAATGTTCCAGGCTCCTCTTAAAAAGAGATGTTTTTATAACAGTAGCTGTGCTCTTTTTTTGAATACATGTAGACTGCAGCATTCAGGGGTAAAAGGACAAGGGAGGAAGTGTTGTAAAAGCTCTTTCCCACAGGTCTATTTGAAGTGTAGAGTATATTTGCTTTGGCTTGGAGGGGGGAGAAGCCAGCACTGTTAGAGGCAGAACAGCAGCAACACTCTGGATGGAAGGGCAGGAACCCTGAAAGCCCCTTCTGCAGAGATGCTCAGAAAGCTTTAAAAAAGCAGCCTGAATTCTCTCCCCCCTTCTGTCAGTTTGTTCAGCAACTACATACATTCTGGGGCTGCAGCAAGAGTCATCTTAATACAGGATTGTGTCTTCATGCCATAGCTACAAAGCTTAAATTGGGACATTTGTTAGGGAGATTCTTGCTGGAGTAAGGCTGGGAAAGCTGTGAAGTGTGAGCAGCCTTGAAGTTAATTAAAAATGAAGATATTCACAATCTTAAAACAGACTTCAGGATTCAGATCCATGTATCTGAGAGCTGTGTTAAGGGCCCATTTGAATCAGGGGCTTCCTCACTCACAACATTAAGAGTATCCAGCAAGAAAGATTAAACTTCTCTGTTCTCACCAGAAATTCAGCCTTCTTTTAACAAATTCTTGTATCTGATCATATATCTAGTGCGAGAAAGTTGTGTCTACATTAGTGTCACACAGACGTGTTCTCTTCACTGTTGGGTTAATGAAGGTAAATGTTTTGAATCCATTTTAGAGTTGAGTTCTTGTACAGAAACTTCTGACAGAAATGCTATCTGTAAGGACTGGTGGATCCTTAAGTGTCAGTTTGGCAAGTTGTCCTACTGTGGGTAGCTGCAGAAATATTTTGTGTATGTTGTTGTAGATTTAAAAGCATTGCTCATGGTTTCATTTGAGTGTCTGCATTTCTGACACGGATGTGACATATCTGTATATATTATAAATCAATACTATTTTTAACCACATATTTTTATATCAGTGTTAAGTAGCTGAGCCATTTCTGGCATGCAAGGCAAATATAATTTCCAGCTATTCATGTTGTTCCTTAAATCCAGGTGCTCCTGTACCCTCTAGTGACTGATCCCAGCCACTGCAGAGGCAGCTCCCAACACCTACGGATCTGAAAGCGCAAACTCAAACCTGAACCAACAGTAAATGTGAGCACAGTTTTTTCTAGCTAATGAGTAACAGCGTGGGGACAGCACATTGCAGTTGAGGAACACCCGGCAAGAGATTTCAATATACACAGGTGCAGTTTTATAACAACTTTTTCTTTTTTTCCCTTTCTCCAAAGTTTCTGGTGGGGTTCACAGCCAGGAATCAGTTCATGAACTCTGTCCTACTGGTGCAGAACAGCCACATCCGCATGGGTTCTACCAGGCATAGAAGCAATGTGATTCTCCAGGCTTGGAATAGCTCAGCCTCACACCTGAAACAGGACAGCAGTAATGAAGGAGGGGAAAAAAGATATTAAGAAAACAATTAGAAGAGCCTTGTCCCCTAGTACAATCCCTGGTGGTAGTGTGAAGGGGAGAAAAGTATCACATATATGTATATGTAAATAAATATAAAGAAATAGAAATTAATTAATTTATAAATATTTATTCACTAGATAGGCAGTGCTTGTATATATATATATATATATTCACCAGAAAGGCAGTGTCAGCTATAAAGTGATCAATAAGCATCATGTTTGATTCTATGATTCTATATGGTTTGATTTGATGATCCTCAAGGTCTCTTCCAACCTTGACAATTCTGTGATTCTGTGTTCCCATGCACCAGTAAGAGGATAATGGTTTTGCACACTGCCATGAATTGGAGTGAGGTTTGTGTACATATACAGGACACAGACTTCAGACTCACGTATAGCACAGATCCTCAGCTAGGAAAGGTTGGATTTTTGTCTAGCTCAGCAGTTTAGGATCTAGTGAGATGGGGAGAGATAAATTCATTTGCATTCCAGGCCATAGCTGTGGGTGTGGACGTCAAAAGGTGGGGAAAAGCATCTGCTGAGAAGCAAATGGAAAATTTAGAGCCTCAGAACACAAGAGGAGAAAAAAGGGCTGATAGAAAAACAGCAGAATCAAAACCAGGGTTTTTTAATTCTTCTTCTTATTATTTCTAACTGAAGAAGCACTTCCAGATGTCCAGAGAATGAATTTTACTGCTTGTTTTTACAGCAGGTCACAGACGAGCCAGCCCTCCCCACGCTCTATTTCTATTTAATTTCTATTTAATTTATGACATGGAGCAACACCTTACAACCTTGCCCTCTTGACACCTGCTGAAAGGCTGTACCAGGGAGCCCCCTCCAAACACCACCTGAGGTCACCTCACCTGTGACCGGGGGGTGCTGGTGACAGCATCTGAACATGAGCCAGTGGCACTGGGCTGTACCAGCCCTGGTGTGGCAGCAGGGCCAGGGCAGTGACCGTCTGTGCTGGGCATGGCTGAGGTCACTCGAGAGCTGTGTCCAGTTCTGGGCCCCTCAGTCCAGGAAGGACATTGAGGGGCTGGAGTGTGTCCAGAGAGGGGATGGAGCTGGGGAAGGGTCTGGAGCACAGCTCTGATGAGGAGCAGCTGAGGGAGGAGCTGGGGAAGCTCAGCCTGGAGAAAAGGAGGCTCAGGAGGGACCTTCTGGCTCTGCACAACTCCTGACAGGAGGGGACAGCCGGGTGGGGTCGGGCTCTGCTCCCAGGGAATAAGGACAGGACAAGAGGACAGGCCCTCAAGCTAAGCTCGGGGAGGTTTCGGCTGAACATTAGGAAGAATTTCTTCACAGAAATGATGATTAGACGCTAGAATCGCCTGCCGAGGAAGGCGGCGGAATGAGTCACCGTCCCTGGAGGTGTTTAAGGAAAGACTGGACATGGCACCGAGGGCCCCGGTTCAGTTGCCGCGGCTGTGCTCGGTCACAGGCTGGATCTGTGATCTCAGAGCTCCTTTCCGACCCAAATGACCCCGCAATTCTGTAATTCCTCAATTCTGTAATTCCACAATTCCGCCAT